GGGGGTTGCGGTACTGTCGTGCATGCTGTTACTTAGAAATCAAAATCTGCACACTGCGATAAAGATAATGATAAAGTTTTTGTTATTTAGCAGTAAGCTTCACTGACTAAAATAAACAAAGTTAAAACAAAGAAACTGATTTCCAGCACCGTAAATCCCTCACAGTCCCTTTACTACTTGATTTGTCTGTGTAAGCTTTGCTTAATTTCAACCGGTTGTTGGGACGTCATTAGACGGAAAGGGTGAGGCAAGTAAAATTGTCAATGGGACAGAATGTACCTGCACTAAAATGTATAACTTCTCCATATATTTACCGTAGACTGATATTTACGGAGGAAAGAGAATATATCTGGCACCTGTAATTGGTGGTTCCTCATCACGTGACATGTGGTGCGTGTTTCAAAAGTTTCACTATTTTTATTTCAGGGTGCATCTGTCACGCTCTGAAAAATATGCGCTTGGGAACGCTTGCGCACTGCAATGCCGTTACTCTCGCTTTGGAGCGCGCCATACGCGTGTCTGCATTGACAACAATGGATTTCCGGGGTGCAAAAAACGTGACACATGAACAGCCCCTTACACTGGTGAAGTTGTTGGTAAAGAGGTCATGTTTCTGTTCTGTTTGTTCGTTTGACTGTTTGTGAGAACGATCATTTAAAAAAATCTGCAAATAACTAACAATGCAGTTTTGTGGAAAGTCAATTTGTTAAGTTTTAGTCCACATCCAGGAATGCTCTTAAAGCTTTTTAGTTTGTAATTAGAATTTGTCTTCTTGTTTTTCATTTTTGAGAGGTTACTGAAACAAATATTTATTCTTAGATTGCGTAGTGTGCAGTTATGTTTAAAACATTATATCATGTGTTCCAATTATCACTCTGAATGTTGGATTGTCTGATTTAAAAAGTAAACATACAACTGTCATGAAAGGACTAGAGCTTTAGTGATCGATAATGGGTATTGTCTCTGTTGAATTAAGGATAACTAAAATAAATATTGACATGCAACTAAGCTCCCCAGCCGAACTCTGTACATTGTCATAGTTATTTTGCTGCTTTTTTATCAATTAAAAAAGCGGATAGATTAATGTTTGAGGCGCATATCACATAACCACAAACTACCATGAACTATATGAAATACTTGATGAAGCAGTGTGTGTTGTGAGCACATCTTTATTATGAACAATATGTTTTTACCTGTAAATAATTTGAAATGCAATTTGATTAAAAGTTAGACCTTTAGTCACGTTATCAATTTTTTAGTCCATATCTAGAAATGTTTAAAAGGATTTCTTGCTTTTTTGATAATTTTCTTGAATTAAATTATAATTAATCTTATTATTTACGTATCTAAAAAACGTGCACATGTATCTAGTGATTGTCTATCACTAGGGCTGGGTGATGATTCAATATTGTTCATGATTTTTAGTGATGATATAATGTTGGCATGTCATCGTTGCACAATTATGTGGACTTTGTTACTGGAAGTAACAATGACTCGAACATTTTGTATAAATGAACGATTATTAATGGGTGTTGTCTCTGTTAAATAAAGAACAACTCAAATGAATGGTGACATATTAAATTACTCTTCTATTCCTTGAAGCAGGTGTTATCCTTGACTACCAAAGCCTAGAAACGTATCGGTATCTTCTTACACTACTGGTCTTTGTAATCAGATAGAATCATCACATTCACTTACTGTTCTACAGCTTTTAACATGTTATTGTCTTGAGATATAATATGCTGTGATATTATCCCATTTAGTTGTTGTTTTTATGATAACTTTTAGCATTTTGTCTCTATAACCCACATCACCTGTGCACCAACTTGGTCAACAAAGTAAAACAAACAAAACACTGCCTCGTGAACTGAATGGGAACAAAGGGCATGTTTAGAATTAAAGTTGGCTCCTCCTGTGTCCTGGAATAATTTAACAGTGATATTCATTGATGATGAAACTATTTCATGACTTCACGTATAGGGCATCAGAACAAAGAGGAGAACGACTTTAGTTTGGTATTAAACTCACTGTTGTTGTACACAGTAGAGAGAGAGGATTCTCCAGCGGTCAGCGGAGGCCGGTTGTCCTGCTCCCTGTTTACATCTACCTCCCTGTGGTGGAGAGAGGAAGGACTGCATGGAGACACAGAGAGAGAGAGAGAGAGAGAGAGAGAGAGAGAGAGAGAGAGAGAGATGGATGGTTTTTACCAAACAGGAAACAGTATCTCATTTTGAATTGTTCACTGTCTCGGGCTAATAAAACGATATAAAGAGGGAGTTGTGTGTTCTGTGTATAATGGTGCTGCCGAATGAGTTTCGTCACAGAAGTGTTGCACTTGAAAATACAACAAATACAACTTTTAAACTACCAAAGCCTCGAAGCTTATTGGTATATTATTACACTACTAACTAGCTGAATCAGTTTTGGGTTATTGTAATCAGATAGCACCACATTCACTAACATTTCTACAGCTTTTGAAATGTTATTGTGTTGAGATATAATATGCTATGATATTTTCCCTTTAAGTTTTTCTTTTTGTACGTTGCGGTTATGTGATGTGCGCCTCAAACATCAGTCTATCTGCTTTTTTAATTCATAAAAAAGCAGCAAAATAACTATGATAAACTACTATCAACTATATGAAATACTTGATGAAGTAGTGTGTGTGGTGTGAGCACATCTTTGTTTTTGGAAACTAGAAGACAGAGAGGTATGACATGCAATAAAGGAGCCAACCGAACTCTCTAAGACAGACAACAGATATCACATAACCGCAAATTAGTTTGTCGGATAATATTTGTTTCCCGTCTACATTTCCTATTATTCTCTACATTGAACTTTCTCATTAAAGCAAAATGTATAATTTTCAAAAGGTAAAATATCAACATCAGTCATCAAAAATGCTGCATTACTGAGGAACCCTCATAGTTTGTGCTCCTCTGAATGAAACAAAACAAACTGTTCTGTAAGTATTCTAAGTGAGACCTCACCTCCTCGGGCAGACCTTCTCCTGGCCGCCTACGCTCCCGTTCTTCAGCCCTCTGTGGCAGGACGGCGGGCTGACGGCGGTGCAGAACGCCATCTCCAGGTAGCTGAGAGGCAGCGTCCTGTTCACGGGCCGGTGAATCTGAGCTCCGCTCCACCGGGTCAGAGCCGCCCTGCTCCCCACGTAGAAGTGAACGAGAGCCGGTAGAGAGTCGAAGGCCTCACCCTCCAGGCTGTACTGGACCCGAGTGTACGTCTCCGAGGACTGAACCACCGACCTCCTGATGACGAAGTGAAGCGTCTTCTGCTCACAGCGGACCGTGAGGACGAAGTCGCCCTGACTGGACTGAGAGTCTCTGATGAGGAAGTCGCCATGGTTCACCACCAGACTCTCGGACACCTTAAGGGACATTTAATTATTCTCTTCACGCTGTTGTGCTCTAATATCCAGTCCACCCTCCTGATATCTGAGCTTCTCAACAGAATCTTTCAATCAGCTCTCGTAGAATAATTTTGTATATATCCAATTATTCCTCTATACGTCTAAATAATGACTGTTCACTGTATAAGCAATGCTGCTTATAGGGATCTGTCCTTTTTGTTGTGTTGTATTAAACACATTTTATGAATCTAGATTTGCTGAACAAGATGTTGCCTTTAAACTAAGAATCAGATCAGCTGGTGTTTGAACAGAGCTCCCTCTTGTGGTTGAACCACTGCATGATTCCTGAGAATTTAAAGGGAAAATTCACTCTAAAATGTGTTATTTTTGTGAAGGTCAAGTCCCAACAGCCAGTTTTATTTTAGATCCTGTTGAAAAAACAACAGTTTTCATTGGACTTTGTTTTTTTTGTTGTTTTTTTTTTTAGCAAAAATCATTGTATAAATCAATCAGGTAGTAAATTACCTAAATGCCAGTTATGTAACTATAAAAACTTGAAAATCCCGTGAAAGATGCTGACTTTGTACATTTTCCTAACTCACAAGCACTGGTCAATCAGAGAGTATTGTTTTCCATAACATCCCATCTTTCAAACTAGTGGGAAGAAAACATTTATTTTCCTACTTTGTCTATTTACGTCTGTAGATTTCTCCAAAATTCACCAAAAGTTACCATTAGATAATGCCTTTTTTGCAAATTTAAACATAAAATTTCAGAAAACTTGTAATACAATAAATACTCATCTTAATGTGAGTAATGAAGTGGTGAAGTTTCATGGTGATATCTATGAGTTCATGTTGTGACTCTATTCACCTGTAGAGTCTCTAAATGTCTGTAATGTAACTAAACGTCTCTTTAAAGGACGTTTCATCTAAATGAGTTTGTTCTCAGAGTCTGATCCAGAAATCTCCACTTCAGCAGCTCTTACAGCCACCAAACTTTACACTTTCATTCCTCTCTAGATTCTGAAGGTTAACACAGAGGGGTTTGTTCACACAGCATGCATAGCCTGATTTATACATGTTTGTATTAGAAACATAGAGAAAATTGATTTCTTTATGGCTGTTGACAGTATTTTCTGATTCACGGAGTGATACAAAGATATATCATAAATTCCCTCTGTAAAAACCTTTGTCAACAACATGAAACACAAATTTTGAACTTGGCTTTATCCAAAGTTCACATTTATGTTCTGGAAATGCAAATGAGCAAATATTTAATAAGATAATGCCTTATTTGTATATTTAAAAACATCTATTGTAAATTTTTTACCCCATTCACCTGAAGTGTCTTTAAACAAAACATGAGGATTTTTTAGGTGTATTGGCTGCTAGCGTTCAAGCTACAACATTTAAAACAACAATCTAAGAAACGCGTTTAAAAAATTGTGTTGTCCAGATATGTGTGTACTTGTTTCACTTGTACTACAATATGGGGACCTACGGTAAATCTGATCACTATGAGGACTCAAGTTTTTGGGGACAAAAACTAGCTTTTCACATGGTAAAAGACTGAAGTTTAGATTTGGTTAAGAGTAAGGCATGTAGTGGCTATGATTAAGGTTAAAGTAAGCCTCCAGCTAATGCAATGTGTGTGTGTAAGTGTGTGTGTGAGGCCGACCTCCCAGGGGACCCGTCCGTGGTACCAGGCGTGGCTCTTCAGGTTGGTGCCGCTCAGCTTCAGCTCCTCCTCCAGCTGCTTCCTCAGTTTGTCCGACGGCGGCTCCAACCAGAACTTTTCTTTGGAGAACTTTAAGGGCATCACAGACGCACAATCAGACACGAAAAACAACAATAAAAGAAAAACATCACTTTAGACCATTCATGTAGCATCTTCTGGCTTTGGGTTCAAATCCAAGACAGAGATGTCTTCTGTCCGACACATTTCTGCTGCTTCTTTCCAAAGCAAACCAGACTCCTCTTGCTTTCTTAAAAGAAACGTCTTGAAATGTTTGTCCTCGGAGAGAACGAGCATTGTGGGTAAACCTGCAGCCTTTTTCAGCTGTTTTTGTGTGAATGTGTGCGCTAACTAGAGGACAGAGGTGGGGGGGGCCAGGATAAGGACGGACAGCTCGGGCATTCCCACACTGGCACCCACACTGGCGACGCCAGGGGCCCCCGAGAACCGCCAGACCCTCTGGCGTGGAGTCTTGGCCTCGTCACCGTGGCAACGTCATTGTGCGGACGGGGGTCATCACTCAGTGGCGCTTTTGTCCGACGCGTCTTTATACAAACACAAGCGAAGATACTGTATATCAAGAGTTTACACCGACGACGGGCCGGGAATGCTTTTGTCTTTGGGACACACACACACACACACACACACACAGAAACAAACACACCAAAACACACACACACACACACACACAAACAAACACACCAAAACACACACACACACAAACATACACATACAAACACACACACACACACACACACACACACTAGTTACTGTTACTACGCTGTTTTATAGGTGACACCTCCCACCCCTCAATTCGTGACAGAATGGTTTGTCCCACTGAACTGTGAATCAAGGGTTGGGCACCAGGCCAGGACCACTTCAAAACAACATAGGAGTGAGTGTGTGTGTGTGTGTGTTTTGAAGGGGGGGGACCTGGGAGTCCCTAATGAATAGCTTTCATTTCATTAGCATTATCATTCATTGCCAGCTTGTCCCTTTCAGACAAGTGTGTTTGTCAAGTATCCAATTATGAGTCAATGAACTGGAAATTCTCTCGCTCTCCGTGTGCCCCTTTCTTTTTTTCCAGGCAGAACCGCGGCTTCAAAGTATTTCACCGCATATCTACCCCCCCCCCCCCCGCGTCCTTTCTGTCACCCGTCCTGATTGAATTAGAGCCTGAGTGTCGAGTTTAGAGGATCACAGCAGCGGAGTTTTAATTTAACCTTCGCTGGAAATGCTGCCAGCTCTGGGAACTGAAAGCGTCTTTATTTCTTCTGACAGGAAGGAAGAGAGAGCAGCAGCAGCATCACGGCAAAGGGAAGCTGCACATTAAAGAGTGTTGCATGAAAATAGATTTGAAGTCTAGTAAAGAGGAAGTTTACCTTCACATATTCTCCAGTGCTGTCTGTCAAGTCCTGCTGACTGAAAAACAAACAAAACACATTCATTCATTATTAGTAACTGTAACCTTCTACTGTAAAACTGTAAAGATTAACTGTATATGCATGCATGTTCTCAGTTCCTATATATTTAAATATTGTATATCATAGAGCTCTAATGCTGTGTTCACACCAAACACAAAGCGAACTTTAGCCTCGCAAGTTTGACAATGGGATCATTTGAGTTTATCCGAGTTACTCGCGCTAGAAGCATCACGGCTCCATGACGCCACCGACAACATTTCATCAACCATGGGAGGCAAAAAAACCAGCTGTTACTGCTTTGTACGTGTTGTAGAAGTCCCAGTTACATCGTAAAAACCAAACGCTGTCCTGTCTGGGGTCATAACATCACCTGGAGGTATTTTGCCGAGCTGTATCTGGTGTATACAGCGGGCCCCAAGATAGCTAGTATACTGCAGCGGTATGAACGCAAAATAAACAGATTTAGCTGTGATCTGATTGGATCTAAAAGGATGCCAAAATAACTACATCATAATGCAGTGTTGTAAAAAGTCTGAATTCATGCTTTGTCAGGTCTGTCCACAAGACGACAAGTTAATAACTTTTAAAATGCTTGTTTTCTGAATGGATCGATCGGGGCTACGCTACGCTAACATTATAGCTGCTCCACCAACACTCAAACTAATGTAATCTAGACATATGATCTGATCAGTATTTAAGGAGACAAAATTACAAATCTGAGCAGATATTTGACGTAAACTTTCAGTACTTGACAGTTTTTGTTTCTTGGCACAACAGACACATTTTAGTTGCCAACAAAGAAGTATTGAGGTTCAGCAAACAGCCCTAAGTAGTACTGTAACAGCAGTACTACTAGCAGTAGCAATAGTATCAGTACTACAGTGAAGTCTGTCGGTCCGTCCTGTTGCTCAACCCTCTGACAGCAGCAGTGTGTTAATGTGACACCACCCAGCAACAGCTTTCCACACAACAAACCCCTCAGAGGATGACGGGGAATATTTCTGCTGCTGTGTGAAAAAACCCTCATGTCTGTTTTTCAACAATGAAGCAAAGGAACCCCCCCGATGTCCCTCCAGTGATGACACCAGCCGGCTTCTCACCAGGTCTGAAGGATCTGGGAGTCTCAGAACTCTGAACACTTTAAAACCGACGTTAAAAGAAAGGGAAGGAAAAACACAAAGTGCAGTTGCATGGTTTCTCTCTGACTGAAACTGCACGTTGGCAATGTGAAAGTATTTTTGGGTGACTCTGCTCTTCCTCAACATGCTGCATATTTCCATGAGTAATGTCAAGGGAGGCGACCTTTTGTTCCCAAACACAAACTCCAAGAACAAACACACACACACACACACACACACACACACACACACACACACACACA